TAACAATACATAACAAAGGAATAAATAACATCTTTTGAACACTGTCTGAGAGCAACTTCGCAATATTACACAACTTATGCACCAGGTGGGGTGGGAAAAAGATAAATAAAAGGGGGAAGTTAATCATAAAACAAGAAAAAATGTTCTCAACACTGGATCAATTTGAAAAAGTAAACAAAATCAGATATCAACATAGGGCTTGCGGAGACCCAATTTACAATATTCTCAGCTAGATATGTATATTCTTTATTACGTCCATGTCTAAGCAGCATAAGTTACGAATACAATAAGATCATTTTTTGACAAAATAAAGATGCCGCCAGAATTAAATTACGAAACTTAAGCTCTAGAAATCGAAAATGTAGAGACCTCTTAAACAATTGGTAACAATACCAAATTAATCAGCTTAAGGTTCACAGAAATTTGATTCAATACATAATCTGTGGTTGAAATTATCTCTAAGACAATATCTGCCGCCAAATCCTCTCAATAGCCTCAGTGATGGCTTAAAACAATTCATACGTGAAACAAAATTGATAGGAAAACAACACTACATTTCAAAATACCTCATTCAATCGTGGCAGAATGCGCATGACCTCTGGACCTCTGCTGTCAATTCGGATGTTTGAGCCAACAGCATCAGTGATGTCAATGCTCTCTGTTCCCTTCAACTCCCAGTTTCGGGCTTTAAAGGCAAAAGGTTTTGAAGTGAGGGCTCCTACAGGACAAATATCTATCACATTCCCTGAAAGTTCACTTGTCATTAGTTTCTCTACATAAGTTCCAATCTCTTCTCCACTGCCACGACCCAGCATGCCAAGATCCTGAACACCAGCTACCTCTGTTGCAAACCTTACACACCTGTTTGATGAACATATCCTTACTGAAGATGGTTTTCAAAAAATCAGCATATGTTTGGCTAATGTTTATAAACTGTTTTCAATCAGTCAAACTACTTTTATCCACATATTTCGTGGACACGTAAAGACTACTACTTGTACCACTTATTTCTATCTATTTATAACTTAAACAGTTTATAAACACTTCCAAAAACATGCTTATAATTTACATTCACTTGACACGTTTATCTATAATAGATCAGCATATAGAAACAGCCAGAATTACATTAATTCAAACCATCCGGAGAGAATATAAATATGGCTCTTAACATAATGAAATTTATCCAAGTTTGGAAATGTAGTTAGTTATAAGTTTAAACAAGTACAGTCTCAGGTGGACTACATTATGACAGGTTTCAAACATTATTTATTGAAGTACAGAATAGGCCTCTCTGAGACAATGTTGACAGTTGACCACTAAAGAAAAAGATACTAACATATAGCTAAGACATCGATGGCAAGGTTTGTCTCGAAAAATTTCAGCCAGCTTATTCTGTTTCTTAGCTTTTAAATTCATGCTAGCAACTGTGATAAGGAGCCTAATAGAAATGAAGCATTATATTGCCAATTTCACTTCAATCTAGAAGACTGAAAAAATTATTTTCATTAATGCAATAGAAACCTTAGTTGATGTACATCACTATGCCCAATTAGGAAGTTCAATTATAAGTGAACGAGATACAAACCTTGTACACTGAATACATCGAGTCATAACAGTTTTGACCAATGGGCCTAGGTTCTTATCAACAACCGATCTCTTCATTTCAGTAAAACGACCTCGATCAGAACCAAAAGCCATAGACTGATCCTGAAGATCACACTCTCCACCCTGATCACAAATTGGGCAGTCCAATGGATGATTCATCAATAAGAACTCCATCACCCCTTCTCTTGCCTTCTTTGCAATAGGCGTATCAGTCTTAATCTTCATTCCTAAAGACAGATTGAGGAGAAGTATAGAAACTATTAAGAAAGATTAATTTTAAAAATCACAACCAACAAAGCAGGTAACATGCTTACGAAGGTTATACCCATATTAAGGTGAGAATGAAAAAAATACTAATATCAAACCAAAAACTGTTGTTAGATCACTACACCCAACGGTTGTTAGATCACTACACCCAAAGGGAGGAACAAAATGAATCAGACTTTAGACCAAATGTGCTGAATAGATCTATGAAATTAAACCTCAAGAAACCGAATTCCTCCAATCAAATTGTAAACAGAAGCCAATCAAAGATGAATTTACATCATAAACAGCAGAACCAAACTTAGAGATGCATTGAAATGGTCTGTAGGAGTAGCCCACATGCCCCAGCAAGAAGAGAGAAAAGAAAAAGAAAACAATACAACAATCTGCAGACTCTCAATCAAAATCATGTATATTTCATTTTATTAATATTAGGGTCATAAAAAATAACAATGGGAAGTACGGGTTTGGTCAGAAAAAGATTCAAAAGCAGATGGAGAACATTTAGAAAAAAATATTATACCAACAATCAGACCAGAAAATAATTCAAACATTCAAAAGGTAGCAACCATTGAAATCTTCTCAATTTCATGTTATGGAACTCTAAAAGAAACCAATCAACATAACAAAAGATCCAGTCTTGAGATATTTCATAGGCACAGTCTAAAATTGTCATGTAAAAATGCTTGAGTATCAATCATAGCACAGTGGCAGTCAAGAAATGAATAACTAATGAGGTCAAGAATGTATCCTTCCTTCCTAGTGAGAGGTGTGAACATTAGAATCAGATATATAAAAAAACAGGGCACGTTAAAAAACCAGATCAATCAAAAAACTTGCAAGTTAAATCCAATCTATAACATAAATTTCTCTTAGCATATTATACAGCCAAAATTATATTAATTCCATCAAAATCATTATTCCTAGCATAGTTAGCAATCATTAAGTTCTAAGGAAATATTTTTCTTATACAAGTAAATAAATTGAGAAATAGTTCAACCCTATCAATCTGTCACCATGTTCGGAAAATCAACGTACAGCAGTATACGAGGAAATTCTCATTTTCCGGTCCCCTCAAGGGTTAAAAGTATTTCAATAAGAAAATAGATAAACCAAACAGGTGTCTTCAATTTTTAATCCTGAATAAAGCTTCACAGTTTCACAGTAACGCCAATCAATATAGGAAAGCCAAGGCTTTCCTTGCTTAAATAATAGAGCTTTAAATTCTACTCAACAAATAGACACTGAAATCCAAATTCACAAAAACTAAAATCCAGATCAATTAATCCCAGTAATTTCATAAATTTCTGTATTTGTAAGTACCAAATTAATAAACATAAAAATAACTCAAACTCAAACTCAAAATCCAGATGAATAGTTCCACAAATGGCAAACATTTCCATATACACACACGCACAAAGGAAATTAATGTACCCGGGAGAGCAGGCATGGCACAAGAGGCGACCGGCTTGGGGGACTTCTCTACTTCAACAAGGCACATACGGCAGTTTCCAGCGATTGATAGACGACTGTGATAGCAAAATCTAGGGATGTCAACCCCAGCGATCTCACAGGCCTGTAGGACCGTCATACCCTTGGGGATTTTAACCGGGTAACCATCTACAAATACCTCAATGGCATCGTCCGGGTTGGGGAAATGGACCCGGGCACCTCCAACCGGGGTCCGCTTCGGAAGATCTGGTTCGGACTGGGATTGAGCCGCTGCAGCCTCGGAGTTGTGAAGCTCCGGCGTGGAGACGATGGTCCGGCGGAAGTGGGAAGTTCTGGTGGCGGTGGTGAATCGGGAGGATCGTATGAGAGCTCGAGAAGCGAGTTGACCCAACCCCATTTTCGTCTTTACTCAGGGCAATTCCCGATTTTCTATCCGAGTTATTGATGCAGGAAAAATATGGGTTCGAAGAGTTGGGGGAGTGTGTACCGTTCTCGACAAACTTCACCATTAGTCGGTTCATCCGATATAAATCGACCGGGCGACTAGTGGCCCGTTAGTTTTGTCTAGCGGCCCAACACCTTACTGGACCCCTATTTAATTTAATAGGAGATTAAAATCAAATTTTTAGTAAATTTCAATTAAAATTATTATAGAGAAAATCACATGACTTCTTTATTTAAAAATCACATTTCAAAACTAACAAACTTGTTAAAACATTTCAAAAATCAGGTGAATTTAATTATAATATAGTATAATTAATGTACCTATCCCACTCACCTCCAACCCACTCACTCATCACATCAAAACCCTCTCTCTCTCTCTCTCTCTCTCTCTGTCTCTCTCTCTCTGACGACGACCCACCCCACCTCCGACGACCGGTCTGGCATCGGTGCCGAAGACAATTTCGGTGACTTCTCCTGTAATTGCTCCGACTCCAGCGACCATTCTGGTAACCGTCCTAACAACTATTTCGGTGACTGCTCACTTCTCTAACGACTACCTTTTTTTCATTTTTGACAATGCCCTGTGACCTTGCATATTGTGATATGTGACCAAATCTATTGAATCTGTGACCTATGATCAATTTCAAAATTAAAAAATAAAGTTTGAAATTTCATAAATTGGGATAATATTAAAATTTTATTTATGAAATAATTAATCAAAAAATTATTTTTTAATTAAATATATTAAATTCATAAATCTATATAATTTGGTCACAGATTATCGAATTAATTGATTACAAATTATTTTTTTATAGGTTACATGACTAATAAAAATTTTAATAGATCACAATTTATTCATCGATAGCAAATTCGAAAAATTTATAGGTCACAATTTTTTTATTTTTTTATTTTTATTATTTTTTTATTTTTTGCAATGACCTGTGACTATTTCTATTGAATCTGTGACTTATACATATTATAACATATGAAATTTGACTTTTGACATTGTTCCCTGTGATTTATAACATAAAATGTGACTTGTAACGTATGAAATGTCACCTTATCTGTTCATTACCAAATTTGTCTTCAATGTAACTATCTATAATCATATCAATTTAATTTGCTCTTGTATGTAATCAAGGCACATCACATCACATATACATAATTATAATTTGTGACCAAATTTATCTTCAATGTGACTTTCTGTAACTATATGTGACCAAGTTATATTTAATTTGATCACATGTAATGACTTGGTTACAACCATTCACATTTAAAATGAATTTGGTCACATGCACAATTAAGACAAACTTAGTCACAGAGTTACAATTAACATATAAATGGTAAAACCACCAACACCATCACCGGTATCGTCTTTCCACAACCAACACCGCACCACAACAACAGCTAGTGATATTGAGTAAATTTCTCCAAATATATTTTACAGAACCAATAGAAATCATTTCTCTTTCTCCATGCAAAGCTAATAATAATAATAATAATAATAATAATAATAATAATAATAATAATAATAATAAATGCAAACACATGAGCACCAAAAAACATGAACAAAATTTAGAAAATAAAATATATTATATACAAATCTAGCACTTAAGAACCCCATGTTCAAGAAATTAATACACATTTTCTTGAAAATTCATTTTTTACCTTGACGACACGAAGTTCAAAGCTCTAGCAAAACCATTCATGGCACCATAGCCCTTTGAACTGAATCTTAAAGTAAATTGCCCAACAATTGTCTATAAGGCAAATGTCTTCTTCCTCATCTCCTCTGCCTGTGTCCTATTTACAGTGTAAAGTAATTCATGAGGACATGGTGACACCCTTCTTTTACCAATCCCATTTACTGCCCTGTTTTTCACTTCTTTCATAACTTTTTTTTGTGGCTCCAATGTTGGAATTACTACTTCTGGTGTTGAATTTGTAGCATTTTTGGCTTTCTCAGTTGATGAGTTTTTGGGGTTGGGAATGGGCTTCTCCATTTTCTTATTTTTGACAGGTGAAAATGATAAGGACCCCAAAATTTATGTCCGTTGTTTCTACCTTCACTTTTGCTTCTATACAAGACCTCCATGAAGACCCAGATTCACATGACGTCGGATTTGGCCATTCAGGAACAATTCATTGGCTGAGCTCATGGACCTCGGGACAACGGAGCCGAGAAATCAAACTCAAATATGAAATTGCAAGCCGAACAACAAAGTTCCTAAACAAGCTATTTTCACCGCCACCACAAATCTACTCAAAAACTCCAGCCACCACAAAATCAAAAGAAAAGAGAAAACAAAGCCGACTGATTCGAATGACGAGAAGGACAACAATGAGCGGTGAACGCTCAGCTTTGCCGATCTCGCCATCGACGCCGCTGCAAAGTGAGCAACGAACGCTCAACTGCGTCGATCTAGCGGCGCTGATCCTCCTCCACAGTAAGAAAGAAGATGGAATATGTGAAGAGAAGAGGGTAGAAAGAGTCGTCGAAGGACAAATCGCCGTTCTCCGACCGCTAGAAGCGCTATCGCTGCTCCAATGAAGAAAGAGAAAGAAAAGACTATGAGAGAGACAATAGAGTGAGAATGGGCTTGGGTTGGTGTGAGATTTGGTAAATTAATTAATTTTATAATATAATTATTAAAAATGAATTATCACCTTATTTGTGAAATGTAATTTAATCTTCTTGTTTTTTTGAAAATTGGTCTTTAAATGCATGTTTCTAGGTAATTTTCCCATTAATATATGTATTGTTAAAAAGTTGTGAAAGCCATAAAATAAGTAGTTAAAATTAAATATTAATTTTGACTTAAATTAAAATATAAATTTTATTCGATATCACGGGTGCTGAAATTAATTGGATTAAACAAATTTAGTTAAAAGTTACTAAATTATTATAAACTAGTTAGCCACACGTGATTTTGTTACAATGTTAATGAATTTTGTTATATAATTAGTAAAATATTAGTAAAATAAAAAGTTCTGAAAAATCAATAAATATTAAAATTTGAAAAACTGAATTATTAGAGTTCATAAAAATGAAATAAAAATATGTTTTTGGGGCACTTTACAATGATCTCGCTATACAATAGTAACTTTTAACTATCAAAAGTTGGGAAACTAAATTACTATAGTCAGTAAATGAACTAAAAATATGTTTTGCTCATATGCAATCTATGTGACGCTCCACGAAACTTGTATGAAAACTCAGGTTATAGTTTCCATATCCATAGTAAGATTATCTTAGCAAATTGGTAACTTGGAATGGGAACCTCAGCAACTTACTTTGGGCTAATGGAACCCATAGAAACAGAAAGAATGCACCAAACTATTGGCAAGAATAGAATGTGTAGCTCTAATCCTCTTTGAACTAGCCAATCCTTGTGAACCAACTCCCACAACAGGAAACGGGAACATGGAAAGAGCAACAGACTGCACCAGCATAAGAAAAGAAAAAATGAAACAAAATGATCCCTTCTTAATAGATTATTCATAAATTCAAATAAATCATTTCATCTTCGAGCATAACTTCACTTCTGTGAGAGTTTACAATTAGAACTGCTCGTATGAAAGTCGGCTTGGAAATAACAACATTCTAATACTATTGATAGTCAATGAATAGATAAATCAAGGAGGCAGCACAAGAATTGCTATACCCAATTGATTGCTCAAATGTCTGCATGTTTCTTTTCCACGAGCCATTGCATTGATTTTGTTTTCTTTACACTCCGTCAGTACTTCGGTAACATTTTACGACAAGTCTTCTTTACCCAGCACATGAACTATTACATAAGTCACCAATATGATATATCCAATGGTATGTCAATCCCGCTTTAGGGCCTTCCGAATGAAAGTGCTGGTTATCAGTATTAAAAGGTAAGTCAAAACTGTAACAACAATACCCAACAGCAGTATTAGGCCATCGTAGGCAGCATTCTGGACCTTATACACCCTGAGGCTAATTGTGTCCCAATTACTCTCTGTCCAGACAGGGTCGACAGCGCTCATATCATCTGAAGAATTGTAGGGTAGCACAGTCCAGCTTCCAGATTCGTACTTCAACCGGGTTGAATATGCTGGGACATACCTGAGATTAAATGAAGCTTATAAAACATGGAGATAATTGAACAATAAGTAATTAAGTGGCAATCAGTCATTATGCAGCCCAATTGAGCAGAATGCGATTAAAATATTGATAATTAAAGCCTACCAGGCCAGCTTATTACTCAGAAGAGGCGGACCATTAAAAGAACTAGGATAAATGACAATGGCTGACTGCACAAAAATTAATGATCATTCATCCAAAGAGAGAGATTAAATTTTTTTCCAAATTTTACCCATGCAAGGAAAATAAACATCGCATTGCTCCAGGACTTCCCACTCGTACTCATAATCCAAAGTGAAATAATGATACAATTTTGCAACATGTACCTTGTGAAATAAAAGCTGGCCAAGAATAAATACCTGGTCGTTGAGATAATGCAGACACCTTTCCCATCAGCTTCTTCTCGTATGCACAATTCACCAACACCTTTGCAATCCTTAGGGCAGGCAGAGCTAGTATTTCTTGAAGAGATTGACGTCTTATCAGCCAAGAAGTTCCAAACGAACCTCGAAACATCACTCACATAAGCAGGATAAGGCAAAGCAGAAGGTTCTCCCAGAACAACACCTACATAATGGCTAGGGCAAGTTTCCGAGGGAGAAATATAGTGCTTCACCAGCTCACATGATAAGCCAGGATCACAATTTAATAGGCAACCAAGAAGTTCTTTCACCAAAGATGCATTGACATTAATAGCATTTATAGCTGAAGCATTTTGGTCACTAGCAAGGAGGTATAGTGTTCTAGCAACTAGAGAAGCAGCAGCTACTATGGCTGAAGAGTTCACATTAGCTGTATCAAAGCAACATATTTTAAACAAAATACAATAGATATTATATAATACTAGTGTAGATCAGGGCAAATAATGAGAATAAATGAATTTGGGTTCACTCACATAGGTCATCCAGGTGACTGTGGTAGAACTTGTTGGTAAAAGAAGT